TTGGTGGGACCCCTGCATCTACTGCATAGCTTCCATTGCTGAGAGAACGACTGCTACACTCCAAAGTCTTAAGTACTATGATAAAAGTCTTCAACATTTAAAAATTGAGAGGGTACTTTTAAAAAGGCAACGCAGCCCTGCCCTGGACATCCAGCAACACCCGGCCTGCATTTCCCTTCACACTGCTGAGGTGCCCGTGAGCTCCCTGGAGTTATGGGGGTGGGGGTTCCGGAGCACATAAGACCTGGGCTGACCTCCGCGGTCTACCCCTTTAGTCACCGGAAATTCTACTTGATGTCTCTGAGCCTCGTCTCCGTGTTTGAAAAACGAGTCAATACCTTCTGCCTCTCAAAGGCATGGTGGGAAGATTCCATTCAAACATGCCAGGAGGCACATGACACCCCCACCCCCACCCCGCACACGGGATCAGCAAACACTCTGGGCAGCGCTGGTCACTGACCTTGTCGTCATTATTGTTCATGGCCAGCTTTGCACCCTTGAGCGGGGTGCCCTGCACGGAGGGCCCTTACCTCCTCCGAGAACGTCTGCAGCTGGTCCTTAGAATAGACGTACTGCCAGATGCGCTCCATGTCGTTCCAGTCCTTGACGATGCCGTGCTCCATGGGGTAGCGGATGGAGAGCAGCCCTCGGTGCTCCTGTGGGCAGTGGGCATCTCAGCCAGGCTGCCTGGGATGCTGCTCTCCCACGACTGGGCTATGGCTGAAGCCCCCTGAGCTCCCACAACCCTTGGCCCTGCGCTAAAGACAGACTCCCGTTCTCCAAGTCTCTGGACTCCAGGCTGCACGCTGCCCTCCCTGCCCAAGCAGCTGGCAAAGCAGAGGGCTTCTGCATTTCCATGGACCCGCAGCTGCCCCTGGGACGAGAGACTGGAGACACCTCCTCATGGGCGCCAGGACACAATAGCCTGGCCTTTTAACAATCCGGCTCCCACCTCTGGGTCTCAGCACTTGGGCCAAGGTTGGCAACAATGATTCTACTGGCCTGCTTACTAAAGGCTGCCAGAGGGCTCTGCCAAACCTGCTCATTAACTCATGCCCAGGGCAGCCCAGGCACCATGTTCATCTGGAGTCTCTTTGGCCAACAAGATAGCATCCTGGTGAGGTAATGACACAACACAGAAGCCTTGTTTTCTAGGCTGGCTTCAATGTATCCCAAGTGGGGCTCCAGCTGTTTCTTCTGCAATACCTGAAGCCAGTCTGGGAAGGAATAAACGACTAGGAGAGAGAACTGCTCCTTAAACTCATGGCTGTGTCCTACTACTGGGACACTTCCCGCGTGATCAATAGTGACAGTCCTCTGTTGGTCAGCGGGGACTTACCTCAGCCTTGGGGCCGATGAAGAGATCACCTTCCAGGGCTCCTGCCATGACACGCACGTGCTTGGGTCGGCCCACACTACAAACGAGAGTGGAGAAGGCCTTTGCTTTCCCATTCACCACAGAATGGGGGAAGGACATGCAGACGCACACTTAGCCAGGAAGGAAATGCACCCAGATCCACTGGGAGGGGCTTCCTCAGATTTACTGGGAGGGGCTCTGAGGAGTGGGGCTGCGGTTGATTTGGATTTTCTTCTTTATTTACCCTTTCCTGTATGTGCCACAATTTCCACCATAAGCACATATAATCACTATGAGCAATGAGCAAGGTACCGTACATACTTGTGTATAAGCTGAGTTTTTCAGCACCTTTTATAATGCAGTTCTTGTGGTAAAATTAGGTGCCTCGGCTGATATCCGGGTTGGCTTATACTTGAGTACATA